TGCAGGAAGCGGTTCTGGCGCTGCCCGCCGTGCTGGCGGCCCCAGGGGTAATGCAAAAGGAGGCGACAATGACGGAATGGAGGGTGCGGGCGCTGACCGTCGGCTTGGTCATTGTGGCGTTGGTATTAGCCGGTTGGGCGCTACCGGCGGTGGCGCACGATAGGCAGGATGATGTCCGCCGGATCGCCGTGGTGTCCGCCTTTGCGCCGGAGATGACGGTGCTGAGAGGAGAGCTGGACAGCGCCAGGGTGCATTCGATCAACGGCGTCGAATTTGTCGCCGGGGCTCTGGAAGGACAAAACGTCGTGCTGTTCCTGAGCGGTATCAGCGTCGTCAACGCGGCGATGACGGTGCAGTTGGCCTTGGACCACTTCACGATCGACCGGATCGTTTTCTCGGGCATTGCGGGCGGCGTTGATCCGGCGTTGCACATCGGCGACGTGGTGATCGCCGACCCGTTGGGGGCAGTATCTTGAGGCGCTCTTTGCTCGGGAGATCGAGGGCGGGTGGGCCAAGCCACCGTTCTTCGACTACCCGTTCGCCAATTTCGGCATGATGTTCCCGCGCTCAGTCACCGTGCAGCAGGCCAACGCCAATGCGCCCGAGACGCGTTTCTGGTTTCCGGTGGACGAGGCATTGCTGGCCCATGCCCGCACCGCGGTGGCCGATGTCGTGCTCGATCGTTGCCCGGTGACGGCACCTGTTTGCAACGGACGCCCGAGATCGTCATCGGCGGCCCCGGAGTGTCGGGGGGCGCCTTTATCGACAACGCGGCGTTTCGCGAGTACACGTTCAAGACGTTTGGCGCCCGCGTGTTGGACATGGAAAGTGCCGCCGTGGCGCACGTGGCCTATGCGAACAACGTGCCGTTCATCGCCGTCCGCAGCCTGTCCGACCTGGCGGGCGGCGGACAAGGCGAGAACGAGATCGAGGTTTTTCTGGGCTTGGCGGCGGGCAATTCGGCGGCAGTCGTCAAGGCGTTGTTGCGGGCAATACCGGAATAGGTCGGGCCGCGTTTCAAGCGAAAACGGCGGTGGGGGTTGCGACACCAAGGTGTTGCGAGACCTGCTGCTGGATGAACTGGCTGAGCTCGACGTCGCTGAGGCGGCCGAAGGCCTGTTCCAGGTTGGCCAGGGGGATGACGGCTTTGGCCATGGAGCGGTGGCCGCCGGCGCTGCCGAGATGCCCGAAGGCGTGGCGCACCAATTCGCCGGCGCTTTTGACGTTTTCCACGTTGCGCACCGAGACGATCAGATTACCGGCGAAAATGCCGGACACCACGGACCACTCAACCCCACCCACGTGCAAGCAAAACTCGGCAAACTGCGGCAGAACGTCCTCGCGTTCGACGATGCCGAGGTGCGTGAAAAAGACAGGGCCGATGATGACAGCGACAGCATATGCGCAGCGCAGAGGCAGAAGGCAGCGAGATCGCGCGAGCACGACAGTTAGTAGCACGAAAATTGCAAAGTGCGGCGGGTGACTGGCGGGCGTGATGACAGCGGCTGGAGTACAGTGGGCGACGCCTCGATATCAGCCTTGGTGGTCTCGCGTCCGAGGAAGAAAAAGGGTGCGTCTGATGCCGTATACAGGCTGTGGCAGGCAGCGCTAATTAATGGCGTCGAATCAACCGCTTGCAGTTTTAGCGCACTAAGAAAGATGGATGAACGGTGGCGCCAAAGGCCGCTCGCACGTCGCGATAGCGGGTGGCGTAGTTGCCCACGCACGGATGGTGATCGACCACGACATCGACACGCGGCAGAACAATGTCGCCGAAGTACGTCGGCTGCACGTCTACCATGGCGATGGCGTCGTACTTGCTGAGTGATTTGGCGGTGACGTGTTCGATCTTGACGTTGAGCAACTGCACCATGGCGACGTTTTCGGGCCGCGTCACCTTGCCAAAGGAGCCAATAGCGGCGGTCTTGCGGTTGCGTCCGAGAAGGGTGCGCAGGGCCATGGCGCTGGCGATGGCATCGGGGTCCGGGTCGTGCTGGATGAGAATCAGCAGGTTGTCGGCCTCGCACAGGGCTTCCCGCAAGTGCTGCACGTTTTGGTGCTCACGAGCGTGCTGCAGTTTGAGTTGGGAGTCTTGGCAGAGGAGGCTCCGACCGAGATGTGCTTGACGCTGGGGGGCAGGTGGGGAGGCGCCGTTGGCCGTAACTACGGCCACCGACGTTTGGCAATGCGGCATAAGTTGTCGACAATGTCCCCTATCAACGCCTCGTCCTGCACCTGCACGAGGATTTGATCGTCCTGTCTGATGTGGGCGTTTTTATAAATGTGCGGATCGCGAAAGTCACCGCACAGCGCGTCGTATCCCGCCTCAGCAAGGCGGCCTTCGAAAGCTTTGTCATCCACCACGTAAAGCACCGTATCGTCGTCTGAAAGCGCAAGGCACCCCTGCGCCAGAAACATCTGCTCCTGACAAAATATCACGCGACGCATGTCTTATGATTTTCCTATCCCTGAAGGAATCAGAGCGCTGGTCTAAAGGTCCAGCGGAAATTCATTTTGGAGTGATGAGCGCAGATCATAGCAAAAGGGTTAGCGTTCGTCGAGGGACTGGTAAAATTGACACGCAGAGAGTCGTTTGCAACAATCGCCGCTCCGCCAAGGGTAGGAAATTCAACATGGAGAGGGGCAATATGAACGACTTCCAGCGCCGCGCCGAACGGGGTTTTGCGGGCTTGCAGGTGGCCGAATCGCTCAAGCAGAACGCCCTGCGTGCACTGGCCTATTGGCTCACCGAGGACGCCTTGGCGCCGTACCGTGCGCAACTGCACTGGCTGACTCGACGCAGGAACGTTGTCACTCTGATGGCATGGACGGCTGTATCGCGTTGTTTGCCCTTTGGCACCGGCGGGCGCCGCGGGCCGGTCGGCATCGGCCCGAATCGCTTCAATCCGTGGACCCTGGCATCGTCCGCGCAGGGGCATGTCGTCTACCTTCAGGAGCGCCACCCCGGGTCGCCTCACTCTCGGTGGTCATCGCCTATGACGTGCGGGTCTTTCAGGACTTGCGCGGACTGTACAACCCGAATCTGCCCAACCCGCTGCTCGGCATGACGTCACGTGACTTCGCGCGTTTGGCGGCGGGCGTGTACGCGGCGCATGGAATCGCCGTGCACATGCTGCCGGAAGATGCCGAGACGTATATCTCGACGCCTGAATTGTCCTATACTATCCGTGCCCTCGCCGCATCGCCCCGGCTCAATATCTCGCTCGCACAACATCCCTATTACACCGTGCGGCAAGTTTTACAATCGCCCCAGGGGGAGCGCAGGACTGCCGCGGACGAACGAAACTAGGCCACAGGTCGGACTCAACTGGTCGAGGCGCTGGATTTCGCCGCCGCCAAGGGCAGCGGGCTGCTGTCGCCGGTGCCGCCGCGGGTGCACGAGGCGTACGTGGCGCTGAACGTGGCGCAGTCGCTGCAACCGGCGGCGCGGCGCGCCAAGATCGTATTCACGCCGCTGCACGGCACGGCTGACAGCACGGTCGGCACGGTGTTGCGGCGGGCGGGGTTTGAGGTTGTCATGGTAGCCGAGCAGGCGACGCCGGACGGCGCTTTCCCGGCGGTACCGTTTCGCGCTCCGAACCCGGAAGTGCCGCAGGCCATGGCGATGGGCATGGCGTTGGCTGAGAAATTGGGCGCCGACGCGGTGCTGGCCTGCGATCCCGATGCCGACCGGATTGGCGTCTGCTCGCGCACCCCGGATGGCGCCTACCGCTTCCTCACCGGCAACGAAATCGCTGTCCTCGTGACCCACTACAAGCTGGAACAGTTGCAGCGCCTCGGACGCCTCTCGGCCGCTGCCGCCTGGTCATATCATACCGAGGGACCACGCCGAACTCCTGCGCCCTTCCACCTCACTTTGGCGCACGCTGGGGTCGGCCGACTTCTGGTCGGCCTCAATACCCACGCCAACGTTGTGCACCAATCGACATCTGCAAGCGATAACTGCGCCGTGACCGCCTCGCTGGACGACTTCATCATCGCCGTCGAGGAGAGCCACGGCATCCTGGTGACCCCGGAAATGCGCGACAAAGACGCCGCTGGCGCCGCCCTGCTGCTGGCTGAACTGGCGGCTTGGCAGCGCCAACAGGGGCGGGTGCTGCTCGATTACCTGGACGACATCTACAAGCGCTACGGCTATTTCGCCAACCTCGGCGCCTCGATGGTGATGAGCGGGGCGGAAGGCGCCAGCCGCATTCAGCAAATCCAGGACACCCTGCGCCACAGCCCGCCCACGGAAATCGCCGGCTGGGAGGTGACGCGGGCAGTTGATCACTGGGACGAGGCCGGCGTGCACGGCCCACTGCTGTCCGAAACCGACCGCGCGGCCCGTGATGTGTTGGCGTATCAGTTGGCCAACGGCGCGCGCGTCATCATCCGACCCTCCGGCACCGAGCCCAAGAACAAGCTGTATCTGGAAGTCCCGGCGCCGCCCCTGGGCATCGAGGCCTCGAACGAGGAGTTGGCGCGCCAGAAGGCGGATACTGACTCTCTGGCGCAGCGCCTGGCCGACGACTTTACCCGCCAGATGCTGGCAACCATCGGCGTTGATCTGCCGGATTACGCGCTGCGCATCTCTGCCTTGGTGCCGCTCGACAAGCGGCTCGATTTCGTTGAGCGCTTCGTACCGGGTTTCGAAGGGCGAGCTCTTGCCTGCACACAGGGCGAAGACACGCCGGAGGCGGTATCGCATTGGGTGGACGACCAGCTTGCGCCATACGGTAAAGACGCCCGCGGCTTGGTGGGCGACGCGGCGGCGGCCTACCTGCACGCCGAGCGGCAGCAGGTGGAGGGGATGACGAGCGCGGAAGGGTTGCAGCGCCGGCAGTGTCTCGATGCCATGGAAACCATCTTTTTCGGCCCGCAAGTCGGAGAACCGCATGCCACTTGATTCACCCAGCGAGTCCTCAAAGTCCTCCCTGGCCCGGTTACGCGACGACAGCCGGGCCATTTTTGCTGCCGGCGTGGCTGCCGTGGACCCCATGGTTGCCGTGCAACGCACCGTTGTGCGCCGCGGCGACACGCTGATAGTGGACGGCGTGGCCTACGACCTGCAACGTTTTGCACATATTTACGTTGTCGGCACCGGCAAGGGAAGCGCCGTCATGGCGCAGGGTCTGGAGGCGATTCTGGGCGATCGGATCAGCGCCGGGGCGGTGACGGTCAAGTACGAGCACGTCGCGCCCGTGGAGCGGGTGACGCTCTACGAGGCGGCCCACCCGATCCCGGACGCCGCCGGGGTGCAGGGCGCCAACGCCGCTATGGAACTGGTGCGGCAGGCGGCCGACGACGACTTGGTGTTCTGCCTGTTGTCGGGCGGCGGTTCGGCGTTGTGGCCGGCTCCGAGCGGCGGTATTTCGTTGGCCGAAAAGCAGCGCATGACCGGCCTGCTCATCGACTGCGGCGCGCGCATCGACGAAATCAACGTGATCCGCAAACACCTGTCCGCCGTCAAGGGCGGCCAACTGGCGCGGTTGGCCGCCCCGGCACGGCTGATCACCCTGGTGCTGTCCGACGTTGTGGGCGACCGCCTCGACGCCATCGCTTCCGGGCCGACGGTGCCCGACCCGACGACGTTCCGGGACTGCCTGAACATCCTGACGCGCTACGACCTGCTCGACCGCTTGCCGGACAGCGTTCACGCCCATTTGCAACAGGGATTGGCGGGGAGCGTGCCCGAAACGCCCGAGGCCGGTGATCCTGTCTTTGAACTGGGGCAGACGGTGGTCGTGGCGAACAACCGTCTTGCCCTGCGCGCCGCCCGCGAGGCCGCCGAGGCGCGCGGGTACACGACCCTGTTGCTTTCGTCAACCCTTGAGGGCGAGGCGCGCCACGTCGCCCGCATGCACGCCGCCATTGCCCAGGAAATCTGCCAGAGCGGTCAGCCGATCTCGCCGCCCGCCTGTATCATTTCCGGCGGCGAAACGACGGTCACCGTGCGCGGCAACGGCAAGGGCGGGCGCAGTCAGGAATTCGCCCTCGCCGCCGCGCTGCACATCGCCGGATTGGACGCCACTGTCGTGCTGAGCGGTGGCACCGACGGCACCGACGGCCCCACCGACGCCGGCGGTGCACTGGTCGATGGCCGCACGGTGGCGCGCGCCGAAGCGCTCGGTTTGCAGCCCGAGGCATTCCTGCACCGCAACGACGCTTATCATTTCTTCCAGGCACTCGACGATCTGTTACTTACCGGGCCGACCGGCACCAACGTCATGGACATGTACGTCGTGCTCGTCGGCGCCTGACGTTTCCACATGTAGGTCGGATTGGCGCAGCGCAATCCGACATTCCACGTCATCCTGAAGAAAGGGTTTTGTTCATGGATCTGGGTTTACGAGACAAAGTGGCCGTGGTCACCGGCGGCAGCAAGGGCATTGGCAGGGCCATCGTGCTGGAATTGGCAAGCGAGGGTTGCAAGGTTGCCTTTTCGGCGCGCGGCGAGAAGGCGCTGCGGCAGACTGAGCAGGAGGCCGCACAGCATGCCGAAGTTCTGGGCGTGCAAGCGGACATGACGCAACCGGCAGACATCGAGCGCGTCATCGACGGCGCCGCGACGTCGTTCGGCGGCATCGACATTCTGATCAACAACGTGGGCGGCTCGCGGGGCGGCCAGACGTGGGACACCAGCGACGACGACTGGAACCTGGCGCTGGACCTGAACCTGTTCGCGGCCATCCGCGCCTCGCGGCAGGCGATTCCGATCATGCATCAGCGCGGCGGCGGGCGCATCATCAACATCTCGTCGATTTATGGGCGGGAAGCGGGTGGGCCCATGACCTACAACGTGGTCAAGGCGGGCATGAACAGTTGGTCGAAATCGCTGGCCAAGCAGTTGGCTCCGGACGGGATTCTGGTCAACGTGGTGGCGCCGGGCTCCATTCTGTTTCCCGGCGGTTCGTGGGAGCGGCGGCAGCAGGACAACCCGGAGTTCATCGCTAATTTCGTGCGCACCGAAATGCCCTTGGGGCGCTTTGGCCACCCGGAAGAGGTGGCGGCGATGGTGGTGTTTCTCGCCTCGCAGCGGGGGTCGCTGATGACCGGCGCCTGCATCAACGTGGACGGCTGCCAGTCGCGGTCAAACATCTGAAGCAGGTTTGATCGTCCTTGGCTGGCAAGTCTTGTCCCGCCCGCCCTAGCGGCAATGCCGGGCGGTGAACGTGACCTTGCCGGTTTTGGGATGCAGGTGGAGGCTGAGGCGCCCTTCGAGAACGGCCAGCAACTCCCGGCCCACCATCTCGCCACGCCATCCTTCCAACACCGGGCTGCCCTCGGTGGGGAGTCGGTCCTTGCGATAACGCCGCACCAGTGTTTCGAGATCGTTGCGGTTGGCGATGAATGAGGCGGGGAGTTTCTCACGCTGGCACAGGGCTTTGAGGCTGGCGTCAAGGAACTTCACGGTTAGTTCCTCGGATGGTGTCAGGCGGTGGTCTCGGTTTTCCGACTGTGGCTGATCCGCTTCAGGCACCTCCAGCCCACGTTGCACCACCGTCAGGAGGGCGTCTGTCGAGCGTTCCAATTCGCGCTGCGGCAGGCCACGCAAGCGTTGTAAATCGTCGCGCGTCTGGGGCGCCCGGCGCGCCAGGTCGACCAGGATTTCGTTGCTGAGAACGCGCCCGTGCGGGCGATTGCGTTGTCGCGCTTCGTCATCGCGCCATGCCGCCAGTTCGCGCAGAATGGCCAGCCCCTGCGACGACAGGTTTTTGCCGTTGCGAATGCGGCGGTAGAGGGTGCGCGGATCGCGTTCGTACAGGGCGGGATCGGTAAATTTGCGGCACTCGGCGGCGGCCCATGCGGCCCGGCCCATGGCATCGAGGCGCTTGCTGAGCCGGTCGTGCATCGGTAACAGATAGCGCACGTCGTCCAGCGCATACTTGGTCTGCGATGGCAGCAGCGGGCGGCGCAGCCAGTCAGAATAGCTCTCGCCTTTTGTCAGCGACACCCCCAGCAGAGCGTCCACCAGCCGGCCGTATGACAATTGTTCGCCGAGCCCAGCCATGGAGGCAGCGATCTGGGTGTCGAATATCGGCCCGGCGAGCTTGCCGGTATGCCAATGCAATACCTCGACGTCCTGGCCGGCGGCGTGCAGCACCTTGAGGACGTCGGTGCCCGTCAGCACCTCGACCAGGGGTGCCAAATCGTCCACCGTCAGCGGATCGACGATGGCGCAGGTGTCGCTGACGGCGATCTGGATCAGCGCCAGTTGCGGGGCGTAGGTATTTTCTCGGATGAATTCGAGGTCGATCGCCAATCGTCCTTCGGTTCGCGCTTGCGCACAGAGGCGGCGCAATGGCTCTGAGGTTTCGATGTACATAGAACGCTTTCTATTGTGAGGGCATGAGATGCTGGGTACCGGGGAATGGCCCGCGGGGAGTTGGGAATGATGGAGCGCATCACGAGGGTGATTGTAGCAGCCCTGCTCGTCTTCGGCTATACGGCGGTAGTGGCGGCGGACGTCTCTCCAACGGCCGCCCTGGAGATTGCGCGTGGGCACGCCCTGCTGACGGCGGCGCGCCTGACGCCGGTGGGGGAGGAAAAAGAGGACCTGCTGTCCGAGGCCGTTGAGGCGTTCAAGTCCGGCTACCGGTGGTTTGGCCGTGACACGCAGGTACAAGCGTTGCTGGGCGCGGCGCAGAGCTACCTGATGATGCAGACACCGCGGCGCGTCTTTCCGTTCCTGTGGCAGGCAACGCCGTTGCAGCGCGCCGAGAGAAGCGCGCAACAGGCGCTGGTGATGCAGCCGGACAGCCCGTCGGCAGCTTTCCTGCTGGGATTGATCTACTGGCGTCAGGCGCAGGTCGCCGAGGACCCAGTTGAGGCCATGGCGCTGAGCAACGAATACGTGACCAAAGCTGCCGATTTGGGGATGCCCGTGGTAGCGCTTGGCGCGGCGGACAATTCGTCGCATGCCTTCCAAATGGAGGATACGCTCTCGGTGCTGCGCTACGCAGACGCCCGCGGCACGGGAAAACCGGACGATCTGCTGTTCGTCTATGAGAAGGGGGAGAACCGGCACGTCGGCGTGGTCGTGGCCGCGGGCAAGGCGTACCCGCTGGTGGCGGACGCGGTGACCGGGTCAGTGGTCTCCGACGGCACATTTGAAGAAATCAGCGTCGACGCGCAACCGCAAGGGGTCCCGCGAATCGTCATCCATGCCCGGCAGGATGGCCAGCTAATCGCCGCGTCGTTCGTGTGGAACGGTGACGGATTCGTGCCGTCGGACTGAAGCGGGACGGCGGTTTATGGAGTCGGCAGGAAGGCGGAACCCGAAGCGACGAGGCGCTGCAGTTGAGGAGACAGGAGGGCGACGTCGAGAACCGGCTCGCCGCCAACGTCTTTGACCAGCGCCACCACCGCGTAGGTGAAGCGCAGGGATTGCGCCATCTGCCGCAGGAGATCCGGCGACACGCCGTTTTCGCAGGGGGGTATCGTGCTCAAGGGACCACAGGAGAATGCGGTTGGCGGTGACGACGCGAAAGCGCCCATTGGCCTCAAGAGCCGATTGCAGTGCCGTCGTCCAACGCCCGTGCGGGAGCGGCTGCGGCATCTCGTTGACAACGGGCAGAACCCCCAAGATCACCGGCCCCGAGGTAACGCGGACTTTGTCACCGCGCTGCGCCTCGGTACCGGGCGACGCCAGCAATTTCGCCAGCGCGTATCCCTCGAAGACCTGCTCGACGATGACGTAGCCGATGGCCTCTTCCAGCCGGTTGATCGCCTGCTCGCCATCGGTTGTGAACACAGCTTCCCGCGAACGGAGCAGGGTCAGTTGCGTTCCGGATAAGATATCATCGCGGGCGCCGAGACTCAGGTAGATGTCACCGTCTTCTACCTTGACCACCTCTCCGGTCACTTTGGGAAAGTAGCGAGCAAGCTGTTCGGCCACGTCCGCAAACACGACTGCGGCGGGGCTGCGACCAAGCGCTGCCACAGAGCGTCAGCAACAGCGCGGCGAGGCACAACAGCCACGTGCGGCTCTGTTGGGGCTTTTTCCGGTTCGCGGCTTTGTCTCGAGTCGTGATCACGTCCATCTCCTATCCTGATGCGGGTCCGAAAACGGCGGCGAGCGTACCATCGCCCCAGAGAAGGTGTCAACCGCCCGACCTCGGCTCAACCGCCGCTCTGCAGGAGAGCAACCCATGCCCGTCCTAACCCGCTACTTCCTCAAAACGGCCATCCTTTACTTCGTTGCCAGTTCCTGCCTCGGCGGCTACCTGCTTATCGCAGTGGGGCCTACAGTGGAGCGCGCCACTGGTGTTGCAGCCGGTTTACTGGCACATGCTGCTCGTCGGCTGGCTCATGCAGCTCATTTTCGGCGTCGCCTACTGGATGTTCCCGCCCTTCGCCAAGGGACAGCCGCACCGTTACCCGGCGCTGGCATGGTTCACATACGCGGCCCTGAACGTCGGCTTGCTGCTGCGGGTGGTCGTCGAGCCTTGGCACGGCATGCGGCCACAGCCGGGCCTGGGATGGCTGCTGGTGTGCTCGGCGGTGCTGCAGGTGGCGGCGGGGTGGATGTTTCTGATCACGATCTGGACGCGCATTCGCGGGCGGGGGCGTTGAGGTATGCCGAGGCTCAGTCGATTCTTCCTGCGCGGCGGTTTCATCTGCCTGGCGGTGGGCATGCTGGCGGGCGGGTTGATTCTGGTGCAGAAAGGCACCGGCCGCTTCCCGTTCTTTTGGGTGCTGCTGCCGGCGCACATCTATCTCGTGCTGGTAGGTGGCGTGACGCAGTGTGCGCTGGGTGTCAGCTACTGGATTCTGCCGCGCCTGGGAGCGGGCAAGCGCCGCGGCAACACGGTACTGGCGTGGTCGAGCTACTGGGCGCTCAACACGGCCATTCTCCTGGTCGCCCTGCACCCGGCGGTCGAGATTGCCTTGGGAACGCCGGCTGCCGGTGCGACCTTTGTATGCGGCGGCGTCCTGCAGGTCCTGGCCGCCGCTGGCTTCGCGCTGCACGCTTGGCCGCGTATTCGCCCTTCGCAGACCAGTAGGCGCTGATTCAACCTTTTCCCTTGTCCTTTTCGAGCCGCCGCTCGTTCGCGCCGGCCAGCACGTAGGCAAGTCTTCTGCGGATGGCCCACAGACAGGCGAGCGAGGGGAGCACCATCAGCGCGGTGATGACGAAGAACACCCCCCAGTCGCCATCCAGCCAGTCCACCAATGCGCCGGACGAGGCCGCGAAAAGAGTCCTTCCCGCCGTGCCGATCGAGGCGAGCAGGGCATACTGCGTGGCGGTATAGGTCCGGTCAACCAACATCGAGATGAAGGCAACGAAGGTCACGGTGGCAAAGGCGCTGGTGAGGTCGTCTACCACCACCGCGGTCGCGAACAAAGCCGCCGACTTGCCCGTCCAGGCCAGCACCGCGAACAATAGATTCGTGGACGCCATGGCAACCCCGGACAGGAACATGGCCCGCACCAGACCGGCCCGGACCGCGAAGAACCCGCCCAGCACGGTGAAGGTGACGGTGGTTACCCAGCCCAGGCCCTTGGAGTAGACGGCGATGTCGGTCTTGGAGAAGCCGATTTCCTGGTAGAACAGGAGGGACATGCGGCCCAGGAATGCCTCGCCGATCTTGAACAGAAAGATGAAGCCGAGCACGGCAACGGCAATGGCGAAGCCGTTGCGTCTGAAGAAGCTCATCAGCGGAGCCGCCGCGGTGCCCGTAAGCCAGGTGGTCGCACGGCCCAGCCCGCCGGAAAGGCCAAGGCGGGAGGCGATGCGGTCGTCCTCCTCGGCCTGGGCGGCGACACGCTCCGCCGGGGATGTCTCGCGTACACACAACACCAAGCCGATACTACAGAGAATGACCACGACTCCGAGCACCAGAAAGGTGGCCTGCCAGTAGTTCTCGACCCCGGCGCTCTGGAAGGCCGCCGCCGCTTTCAGAGCGACCACGCCGCCGAGCTTGAACCCCGTCCACCAGCCGATGACCGCGGCCGCGGCGCCCGCCGCCATGGATTCGCCCTCGGACTCGCCGACCTGCTCGATGCGGAGCGCATCGATGGTGATGTCCTGGGTGGCGGAGGCGGTGGCGATAACCAGGCCGACGGCGACCACGACGGCCAGGCTCGCCGCCGGTTCGATGACGCTCCACATGACGAGGCATGCCAGGATCACGGCCTGCAGCGTGACGATCCAGGCGCGGCGATGCCCGAGCCGGTCCGTCAGCCACGGCACCCGCAGCCGGTCGATCAACGGCGCCCAGAGGAAATTGACCGCGTAGACGCCGAAGATCAGTCCGGCCCAGCCGATGGTGGTGCGGCTCAAGCCGTCTTCCTTCAGCCAGAGGCTGAGGGCGCTGCCGATGAGCACCCAGGGAAAGCCGCTGATGATCCCGAGCAGGAGGATGCGGGCCATGCGCCGTTCAACGTAGGCCGAAAGCGACCCTGCGATGCTCTGCATGAGGGATTCCCTATGATCGTTGCTTCACACTCTGCCTACTGCTCGGGGTCGGGCTGCGAACCGCCGAAGCCGCCCATAAGGAACTGTTCCGGCGTGGTGCCCGTGGCGGCGCGGCGACCGCTCAGCACGCCGCCAACCTCGTCCGCCGCCGGGCCGTAGAACTCGCCGATCATGGTTCCCGCGAATCCGCCAATCGTTTCGTGGGGCGCGGCGTTCTCGTTGAGGTCGTTACCCACCCATTCGGCGACAAATCGGGCGTCATCGATTGGAGCGCTGGCGATGTCGATCACGTTTCCCTCCGGCAGCGGCGCGTAGGCATCCGCACCTGGGGGCTGTGTGCGGAGCGTGTCGATTCGCCCCGAAATTTCACCATCGTCGAAATTCGCTTCCAGATGCAAGGTGCCGAGGATCCAGGTCTGCGTGCCCCAAACCGAAGCGTCCGCCCCCCACACTTCGGCCCGCCGCAAGCGTCCCTCATAGTTCGCACTGCCCAGGGGCAAATTCCCCGGCAGGGTCCGTACGCCGTACGTCATGAAACCCCGGAAATTGCCGATCGGGGCTCCACCAGCCTGCCAGCCATTGATATCGAAATAGTCGTAGTAGGCCGAGCCGTCGGTTCTGTCTGTCGCGGCCGGATCGTCCGAATCCGCCTGGAATGAATCGGTCCAGGACCAAAGCGTAAATGGGACCAGGCGATTGTCTTGCGCGGTTCCGCGGAAAAGGGTCGTTCTGAATCGGTCCGCTGGGAAATGAGCAAGGGATTCTCTGCCGTCAATCACGAAGGTGACGCGGAACCCGCCCTCTCCATCGCTGGAAACGGACTTTACGTAGGCGCTCCCCAAGTCCGGCTGCGTTGAGGCGGGAGCCAGGTAATCCCGCCAGACCGCCGCCGACAGGGCCGAAAAGACCTCCTCACCACCGGGAAGAAGGTTTGCCAGCGTATCCGCATCGCTTTCCGCGTGCACAGGAGGCTGCAGGCTGCGGGCCAGCCCGTCCTCGATCCCTGCCAGTCTTTGTCGATCAAGCCGCTCCTGTTCCTGCTCCTCCTCCAGCATTTTGGCGATTCCGAGTTTCGTCAACCCGGTGTTGGTGCTTGAACAGCCGGCCATCACCGCAGAGAACACGACGACCAGAGAAACAGCCAGAACCTTCCAAATAAGTATTGGCACCATTGGCGGTCCTCCTTCAAATACGGAAATGCTCCGATACGGGGGGGGGGCAGGGGCTTCCCCCGGCCGTTGCAGAAAACGCCGGCCTCGGAGAAAGACGGTCCGGGAGAGCGTGTCACGGGGTTGGTGGATAATAAATGCACCATCAGCCTTGATGGTGCTCGTGGTGGTGATGCTCGTGGCCATGATGATGGTGGTGAGCGTGGTCCGGCGCGGTGTCGGCCTGTACCTCGCCGACGACAAGGCGCAGCAGGTTGGGGCCTGTGGGAAAATCACGGTTGCCGGCGCCGTAGCCGATGCGGTCGATGGTCATGCGCGGCAATGGTCCGAAGCGGTCGGCGAGGGTGGTGAGAATCGCCGCGCCGGTGGGGGTGGTCAACTCCATCCGGGTGTCGCCGGCGTAGGCCGAATACCCCTTGAGCAGGGCCAAGGTGGCCGGGGCGGGGACCGGCAGCAGGCCGTGCGAGGTGTGCACCGCGCCGTGGCCGACGTTGACCGGCGAGGCCACCGCGCCCTCAAGGTCCAGGGCGTGCACGCCGATGGCCGCGCCCACTACGTCGATAATCGAATCCACCGCCCCCACCTCGTGGAAGTGAATCGCGTCCAGCGGCTCGTCGTGCAGATGCGCCTCCACCTCTCCCAGGCGGCGAAAAATTGCGAGCGCCCGGTCCCGCACCTCGGGCTCCAGTTCGCTTTCGGAAATCATCGCCGCAATGTCGGTATAGCGCCGCGCCGGCTGCACCGCCTCGTCCACGACCACGTCCACCTTGGTGCCCCGTAGGCCGCCGCGCTTGACGACGCGTGCCTCCAGCCGGTATCCCGTCACCGGCAGCTTGGCCAATTCCTCGCGGATGACCGCCAAGTCCACACCGGCATCCACCAGCGCCCCTAGCGTCATATCGCCGCTGATTCCCGAAAAACAGTCAAAATAGGCGATCTTCATGTGGTTCCAGTCCTTCCACAACACATTATTGGATAGGCAGACCCTTGCGCCCGACGCCCGCATACTCGAAGCCCAGCGCCCGCATGGCATCGGCGTCCAGGGCGTTGCGGCCATCGAACAGAAGGCGGGGTGGGTACATGGCGGCCGCGATGCGCGGCCATTCAGCGCGGACGATCTGCGGCCATTCGGTGAGCAGAACCACCGCTTGCGCCTGCTCGGCAGCTTCGACGGGGCTATCGGTCATACGCACGACAGCGGGCAACTGACGGCAGGCGGTGTCGTTGGCCTGCGGGTCAAATGCCATTACCTGCACGCCCTCGTCCACCAGTTCTCGGATGAGCGATAGCGACGGCGCGTCGCGCACGTCGTCCGTTTCCGGCTTGAATGCCAGCCCCAGAACGCCCACGCGCACGCCGCTCAGGGCGCCGTTGAGGCGCTGACGCAGAGCATACAGCGGCAGCATGCGCTGGCGGTTATTGACGTTGATGACCGAGCGCAGCAGATCGACGCTCACGCCGCTGGTCAGCGCCAGGTAATCCAGGGCGCGCACGTCCTTGGGAAAGCACGAGCCGCCGTAACCCACCCCAGCGTAGATGCGGGCGCCGGCGCGCGCGTCCATCGCCAGCCCCTCGCTGACGGCGTCGATGGAGGCGCCGATGCGGTCGCACAGCAGGGCGATTTCGTTGATGAAGGAGATGCGCGTGGCGAGGAAAGCGTTGCTGGCGTACTTGACCATTTCGGCGCTGGTGATGTCGGTGACCATGTGCGGCGCGTCGATGCCGTCGTGCATGCACTTAACGACGGCGACAGCGCGGTCATCACCCGGCTCGGCTCCGATGACGATGCGGTCAGGAGCGTCCCAGTCGGCCACCGCCCGCCCTTCGCGCAGAAACTCGGGATTCGAGGCGTAGCGGATGTCTGTGCCTCGCAAGTCGTTGTGCAACAGGCGCCGGCCGACGCCGGGCGGCACGGTGCTCTTCATCACCACAACCAGATCCCGGGGCTGCCTGGCCTTGATCCAGCCCACGGCCGATTTGACCTGGCTAAGGTCGGCGGCGCCACTCTCCGTCGGCGGCGTTCCGGTGGCAATGACAGCGGCGGCGCCCAGCGGCTCGTCCACCTCGTCACGGTGCAAAAAGCGCAGCTTGCCATCACGCACACCCTCGGCGACACGGGCCTCCAGCCTTGGTTCGTAGAGATGAACCCTTGCCAGTCTGCAGGGTTGCAAGGCGCCCGCGGTCGATGTCAACACCGAGGACGGCGTGACCGGCAGCAGCCAGTCCGGACGCCACAACGGCGCCGACGTAGCCGAGGCCGATGACGGTGATTTTCAATGCGGGGTTCCTTCAGGATATTGAATGGTTACGCGGCATTATCACGCGTGCAGCGGGGCATTATACCCGTGCGTAAGCGGCTTTGAAACAACCCCGCGAGGGCCAAACGCCCGCATGTCGCGCGTACGGGCGATTCCGTTGCGCCCCGTCTGGTAATCCATTACGATGGGCACCCGTATTTTCTGATTCCCGCCCCAAAACCATCACGCATCATCATTAAGGAATCCAGCCCATGATTTACGACTTTCGCATGTACACGCTGAAGCCCGGCGCCGTTCCCGACTACATGGCTGCCGTCAAGGACGTGGCGCTGCCGCTACGCCTCAGTCACGGCATCAAGCTGGCCGGCTGGTACTACAGCGACATCGGCGAACTCAACCAGGTGGTGCACATCTGGGCCTATCGCGACCACGCCCACATGGCGGAGGCCAAGGCCAAGGTCACCGGCTCGGACGAGTGGAAGCAGAACTACATTCCGCGCGTCCAATCGCTCATCGTGTCGCAGAAAACCTGGTTGATGCTGTCGCCCGATTTCGCGCCGCAGCCCTAACGGGCGGCGCAAGGAGTCCGCACCGGATGCAAGCGCTGTTCGACGCTGTGCGCCAGGCTTGTTCGCATCGCACGTCTGGTCGCGCGGTGTGGAGTTCACCCGCGCCAATGCCGTGCTCAGCGAGCGGGCGGACGGCGAGGAAGTCGTCCTCAAGGTGGTGACGCGGGATAAGGTCGTGCAACCCACCGTCACACTGTGGCCGGATGACGAGGATTGGTTGTGCGATTGCGGTCACCATGAGACGGTGTGCGCACACGTGGCCGCGGCGGTGATCGCCTACCGGCGCGCCCGACAAGAGGACAAGCCCCTCCCCGCGGCGCAACAGGCCAGCGGCCGGTTGCGCTACGCGTTCACGCGTTCGCAAGGCGCGCTGAGCTTCGAGCGCCACGTCGTCCACGACGGCCGCGAGCAAATTCTGGAATCGCCGCTGTCGCTGAGCCTCACCAGGCCCGGCGGCTTGCGTTTCCAGGGCCGGATATCCATCGCGGTGGCGGCCACGCCGGCCGATCTGGCGGTCGAATCGGCGCTGGGCATACACCGGCGCGGACGCCTGCCGCGCGAAGTGATGGGAAAGCTGCTGGAAGCGCTGGCCTCTTGCCCGGACGTACGGCTGGGCGGCAACCCCGTCAAAATCCTCGCCAAGCCCATCGGCCTGCAAGCCTGCCTGGAGGACCAGGGCGACGGCTTCCGGCTGTTTGTGGAACGCGACCCGGCTATCACCGAGGAATTTGGCAACGGCGTGGTGCTATGCGGCGACACGCTGCGGCCGGTCGCCAACCCCGGCCTCACCGCCCGCGAACGCGCCGACCTCCCCGAAGGACGCCACTTCTCCTGCGATCAACTCACCGAATTGTTCAGCGATATCCTGCCGTCCTTGGAAAAGCGTCTGCCGGTGCAGGTGCGCACGCGGCGCTTGCCGCAGGTGGTGGAGGAACCGCCGCGCATCATGCTGGACGTGCACCGCGAAGGTGACGCCCTGACGGTGCTGCCGACGCTGGTTTACGGCCAGCCGCCCCTGGCCCGCGTCGATGGAGAACGCCTGGTGCACCTGCAAGGGCCGCTGCCGAAACGCAACGAGCGCGCGGAAGAACGCTTGGTGCGGCAACTCCGGCAAACGATGCAACTTGCCCCCGGGCACAAGGCGCAATACACCGGCTCAGATGCGGTACGGGTCGCCACGCGCCTCAAGGGATGGCGCGGCGAAATACGCGGCAGCGGGCACACCGCCTTTGAACTGGCGCCGCCGCTGGTGCCGCAGGGGCGGCTCGATTTCCAGAACTTCGAGATGTGGTTCGAATCCGCCCCGCCCGCGTCCGGCGACCCCGCCAAGCGTGTGGATGCCGGGGCGGTGTTGCGCGCCTGGCAAAGCGGCGAGTCGCTGGTGCCGTTGTCCGGCGGCGGCTGGGCGCCCCTGCCACGCGAATGGCTGGATCAGTTCGGTCACCGGGTGGCCGACCTGCTGGCGGCGCGTAACGCCAGTGGCGTACTGCCCCAATTCGCCCTACCAGACTTGGCGCGCCTGTGCGAATCATTGGAACAACCGCCGCCGCCGGAATTTGACGCGCTGCGCACCCTCGTGGACGACTTCGCCGGCATTCCCGCGGCACCGATGCCCAACGACATGCAGGCCACGCTGCGCTCCTACCAACACAGCGGCGTCAACTGGCTCGTCTTCATCCGGCAAGCCGGGCTCGGCGGCATGCTGGCGGACGACATGGGCCTCGGCAAAACCCTGCAAGCCCTGTGCGCCGTGCGCGGCCGCACCTTGGTAGTGGCGCCGACCAGCGTGCTGTCGCACTGGGGCGACGAAATCCGCCGTTTCCGCCCGGGTCTGCGCCAATCGCTCTACCACGGCCCGCAGCGCCGCCTGGACGCCGAGGCCGACGTCACCCTGACCACGTACGCCATTCTCCGCCTGGACAGCGACCGGCTGGCGCAGCAAAGCTGGGACACGGTGGTGCTCGACGAGGCCCAGAACATCAAGAATCCCGACAGCCAAGTGGCACAGGCGGCCTTTGAGCTGCGCGCCGCGTTTCGCCTGACGCTGAGCGGTACGCCGGTCGAGAATCGCCTCGACGAGTTGTGGAGCCAGTTCCATTTCTTGAATCGCGGCCTGCTCGGCGGCCGGCAGGACTTTCAGGACCGTTACGCCCAGCCCATCGCCAGCGGCCAACCGCAGGCGGCTGAGCGGCTGCGAGAGCGCATTCGGCCGTTCATCCTGCGGCGCAGTAAGGGGGAAGTGGCGCCGGAACTGCCGCCGCGCACCGAGCGGGTGCTGCATTGCGAGCTCAGCGACGCCGAACGCATCGTGTACGACACGGTGCGCGCCGCCACCCTGAATGACGTGGTGGCCCGTCTGGAGGCCGGAGGCAACGTCATGGCGGCGTTCGAGGCGCTGCTGCGGCTACGCCAGGCCAGTTGCCACAGCGGCTTGGTACCGGGGCAGAGCGCGGACACCTCGGCCAAGGTGGAACTGCTTCTGGAGGTACTCGGCGAGGCGGTCGCCGACCACCACAAGGCGCTGGTGTTTTCGCAATGGACCACCTTACTGAACCGCGTCGAGCCACACTTGCGCGCCGCCGATATCGACTTCACCCGCCTGGACGGCCAGACACGCCGGCGCGATGAGGTAGTGCGGCGCTTCCAGGACGCGGACGGCCCACCGGTCATGCTCATCTCCCTGCGCGCCGGCGGTACCGGCCTCAATCTCACCGCCGCCGATCACGTCTTCCTGCTGGATCCGTGGTGGAACCCGGCGGTTGAGGATCAAGCCGCCGACCGCGCCCACCGTATCGGCCAGACCCGCCCGGTGCTGGTGCACCGTCTGGTGGCGCGGGACACGGTGGAGGAACGCATCCTGGCGCTGCAGCAACACAAGCGGGCGCTGGCCGACGTCGCGCTGGCCGATGCCGCTGGTGCTGCGGGGATTACGCGCGACGACCTGCTGGCGTTGTTGGCGTGATGGTGACGAAGATGGCTGTGCGTCACATCCCATTCCTCATTTTCAGCCTGACCGTCGTGCTTCTGGCGCCAACGCACGCCGATGAGCCGGCTTTCCAAATCGATCCCACCGTTCTGGAAGACCTCAGCGCAAGATTCGACCGCAAGGGGTTGCGGTCCGTTGCCGCCGTCCTGGTGGCGCCCGAACATCCCGATCATGACTGGGTACGCGGCGTGCACGAGCGACTGGTGGACGTGGGACAGGGCTCCGGCGTCATTCTGTATCGCACCCAACGGGGCGCCGCCTTGCTGGTAACCGCGGCGCACGTGCTGCCTTATGAGGCCCTTGACTCGGCGGAAACGGCGCCGCACTCAATACGCGTGCTGTTTGCACTGCCGATCACGTCGCAGGAATATGAGCAGGAAGTACCGCGCGACAAGGATTTTGCCATTGCGCTCGCCGAGGACGGCGAACCGGCGTCCCGCGGGCGGGGCTGGCGCCTCACCGAGGCGGGCTTGCCCGACGTGGCGAGCGTCCAAGCGGGCCAGGAAGTCCTGCTGATGGGCGCGCCGGTAGTCGGCAATCTATCGCTGATGTATTCGGTGGGCCGAGTTCTTTCTACGGCGGAGGCTCGGCAACACGACGCGCAGTACGATGCGGACAAACAGCTCATTGTGCAAGCGTCGGCGGCCGGGCGCATGAGCGGCGGCGGCGTGTTTGCACGGGACGGGTTGTACGTTGGCGTTATCACGACGGGGTATTTCGGCGGCCACCCCAAGGCGCTGGTCAGCGATTACGTGGGCGGCGTGCGGGCGACGTGGATCGAGAAGCGCTTCATGGCCTACATCGCCGCCCTGCCCGAAGCGGAACGGCAGGCGCTGGCCGAACTGCTGCGCTGATTTGACCCGCGAGGGCGGTTCCTCTATTCTGCACCCCCGCTGACGGCACCCACCTGCGTTTCACAACCCACACCCTATGAGGCTCCACGATGCTAGAACGATTTCACGTCCCGGAGGACATCGCCGTGCGTGTCCCGCAGGAAACGATGCGGGCGACGGTGGAAGCCATCTTTCAAGAGATGGGCATGCCGGAGGCCGACGCGCGGCAGGCGGCTGACGTCCTCATGTACGCCGACCTGCGCGGCATCGATTCGCACGGCGTGTCCAACATGATGCGGCTGTACGTCAAATGGTTCCGGGAAGGTGTCATCAACCCGGCGCCGGAGCCGAAAATCCTGCACGAAGCCGCCGCGGTGGCGACGATGGATTCGGACCGCGGGCACGGCCTGGTGATCGGGCCGCAGGCCATGAACATGGCCATCGAGCGGGCTGAGCAATACGGCATCGGCGCCATTACCGCGACCAACGGCGCCCACTTCGGCGCCGCGGCGTATCACGCCGGCTTGGCCCTGGAGCACGACATGATCGGCCTCGCCATGACCACCGGCGGTCTGGCGCTGGTGCCGGTGCACGGCGCCAAACCGATGGTCGGCCTGAACCCGCTGGGCGTGGCGGCACCAGCCGGACGAGAGGCGCCGTTCATTTTCGATGCCTCGATGAGCTCCGTCGCCGGCAACAAAATCCAACTTGCGCAGCGCCTCGGCGTCTCGATTCTGCCCGGCTGGATCAGCGAAAAGGACGGCACGCCGATCATGAACGAAGGCCCCATCCCGCAGGAGTGGATGGTGCTTCCCCTCGGCGGCACCCGCGAGATCGGCGCCCACAAGGGCTATTCGCTCGCCATGATGCTCGAAATTCTCAGCAGCGTGCTCGGCAACAGCGGCGCCGGGCCGTTCCGGCGCCAGGATCCGTGCCACCACTTTCTGGCCTACAAGATCAGCGCCTTCGGCGACGTGGCCGTCTTCAAGCAGGATATGGACGAGTATCTGCGTGGCCTGCTGGATTCGCCGACGGCGCCGGGCCACGACCGGGTGGTCTATGCCGGCTTGCTGGAGCACGAGGAGGAAGCCGAGCGCCTGGAGAATGGCATTCCCTATCATCCGGAAGTCATCGACTGGTTCCGCGGCATCAACGGCGAGCTCGGGTTGCCGGACCGGCTCAGTTAGGGAACGTCGGATTACGCTGCGTTGATTCGACCTACAGCGCTTGCGGGCACCATCCAGTCCGCATCAATTGGAGGGAAAAGATGCTAGTGACCCGAGACGAGATTTGCCAGGATCCCAGCTTTGAGGCGCTTACCGACGCCATCCTGGAGCGCGATCAATCCCGCACCGCCGACCTGTTCTTCAAAATGGTGGCCCGGCACGGGCACTCGGTGGGCGAGGCACTCAGTGTGGTGACGGCGGCGGAGGCGCCCTTTGTGCAGGTGCCCAGCCACATCAACGTGCGCGACGGCCAGATCACGCTGATCAACAACGACCACACAATTCTCGGCCTGCGCACCTCGGTGAGCCTCATGTCCTACGTGCCGGAGGCGTATCGCCTGCTGCCGCTGCTGCAGAACGTCTGGTACATCCCGGCGGGTCTCGATATCTGGAACCAGCTGCTCGGGCAGTACTCCGGTCGCTACGCCATGATGAAGGGGCTGGAGGTGCCGCCCACAGCCAAGGACCCGGTGGTGTGGAACGAGCATCAGGAGCCAATCGTCACCAGCGGATCGGTGGAGGAGCGGCTGCACGAGCACATGATCGCCACCATGAGCGGCGACGTGAAGCGCTCCTACGGCCTGTATCTCGGCTTGGCGGCAGACGAGCAGACCCGGCCCCTGCTGCGGGATCAGCAACTCTTTCTCGGCGTTATCGACCTGCAAGACACGATCATCGGTCGCAAGGCGCGCAATACCGGCCACAAGGCGTTGCGCGCCCGCGCGACGACGGACCTGGCCAAGTTCATCGGCTGGGAGCGGGCGCACGGCGTGTTCTACATCGGCGTGCCGGACATGGCCATCGGGCCGCTCTATTACTCGATCTACGACGCCGCCTGCGTGACCGTCATCGACGCCTTCGAGAACGCCGGCAAGAACCTCAAGCAAACGAACAGCGAACCGCTCACCCCGGAGGAGAGCGAGGAGATAGTGCGGCTGCTCATGGAGGCCGACGGCCAGACCATCTGGGATTTGGTCACCGACCACCTGCGCAACGGCAAGTCGCTGAAGAGCCTCGGCGACACCATCCAGGTCGGCGCTGCCGAGTTGATTCTACGGACCACGGTGCCGCGGCAGTTCACCAACGCGCAGCACGCCTTCGATTACTGTAACGTGGTCAATTACTGGTTCCGCACCAGCGACAACCCGTATCAGTCGCGGGTGCTGTATCTGATGGCGAATTTCGTCAACGATTCGGCACGCTGTAACGGGCTTTCAACGTCGGTTATGGAGCAGGAAATCGCCCCCTTCGACTTCTCGGGCCGCGCCGCCAGCGAGTTGCTGACCGAGTTGGACGAGGCGATTCTGGCGCTCGACGTGCCGCGTACGACCGCCATCGCCAACGCCTACCTGAGATCCGGCGCCTGCCGCAAATCCTACATGGCGACGGTGGCCATCACCGCCTGCAAGTTCCAGGACGACCCGCATAATCAGAAGATCACCCACTCCACCTTCGAGGAGTATTGCAACAACTCGACCCACATGCGCGAACGCCTGCTTCTCGCCACCGCCCGCCAACTCGCCGGCTGGGTGAAGATGCCCGGTGAGCGCGAGTGCTACGAGCGGTTCATGAAGGAGTGGATTAACAATTGATGTGGAACAATGCTGACTGAGGAAATGAAAGCGCTGATCCGGGTCTTTTCGGCCGGATCCGTGGCCACTATCAACGCGGACGGAACACCCTCCGCATCGCCGAAGGCCACCTTTGTCGTCGTCGATGACGAGACGTTGGCATTCGGTAACCTGCGTTCACCTGGAACGCTTGCCAATCTGCGCGCCAACCCGGCGGTGGAGATTTGCTTCACCGACGTGCTCTCGCGCAAGGCCATCCGGGTGACGGGAACAGGTTCCATCATTGGCAAGTCGGATGCATCGCAGCGTCTGCAGGACGCCTTCAACGACGCGTGGGGGGATTACGTGCCGTCTATGTCTGCGTTCGTGGTCATCAAGGTCTCGGCGGCTGAATTAATCCTGTCGCCGGCCTACGACTTCGGCCATACCGAGGCCGAGTTGAGGGCGGCCAATCTGGAGCGCTTGAACGCGCTGTAGTCTCACCTGGGCCGGCAGGTTGGCGAAACGGGCTTCCATCGACGTGCTACTTCAGGTTTCCGATGCGCAACCATACTGAAATTCCTTAAGGAACGGACGGATCGAGGTGTTCTTTGCTCGAGTGCATGGTCTTGCTGTCCCCAGGCGCTTCGCTGCGTTCGAACATGTTGTAGTCGCGAATAACGCCGGCCACGCGCAAGCGATAGTCGGCAAAAATACCGTCCCGCCCCTTGCTTTGAGCGCTCCGGTGTTGGCTCAAATTGCGCCAGTTCCGGACGGCCTCCTCGTCTCGAAAGAATGAAAGCGATAAGAGTTTTTCCGGGTTGGTGAGGCTTTGAAAGCGTTCGATGGACAGGAAGCCGTCAACCTGCTCCAGAAGGGGCCGCAGTTCTGCCGCAATGTCGAGATAGTCCTGCTTGCGTGCCGGTACGACTTGTACTTCGAATATGACGGCGATCATGTTGCGATTCTTTCGGCAGGCGTGGTTTATCCGCGTGTAATCCATTCAAGGCTTTGAGCAAAGCCGCTCAAGCTCTGGCGAGCCGCATGAAGTTGTCATAGAGCCTTTCCGCGCTGGCCAGAAAGCCCGCCACATTCTCCGCAGCACCTTGTGACAGAGTCCCCATCCCGCCTTCCCCCATGACGTTGACCAGCGCTTCGCGATAGGCGGGGACGGCCGCCCAGTTGGTCACGGTATCGGGTTCGACCTCCACGTGATACTGCATCGACCAGGCGTTCAGCCCAATGCGCATCGCCTGGACGGGGCACGCTGGCGACCGCGCCAGCACAATCGCACCTTCGGGCGGCTGCGCCACCCGCACCGAATGCCATTGCAGGCATTTCTGGCTGGCAGCCAAGCCGGCAAACAGCGGGTCGGCCAGACCTGCCTCGGTCAACTCAACATCCATAACCCCGATTTCCGACGGAACCTGTGGCCCGCAGGTGCCGCCAAGGGCGTCGGCCAGAAGCTGATGCCCCAGGCAAAGCCCCAGAAACGGCTTTTGCAGGTCGCGCACCCAGGTTCGGATGGCGGCCTTTTCGGGTATCAGCCAAGGGTGCTCATCCACATCCCAGACGTCCATCGGCCCGCCCATGACCCACAGCGCGTCGTAGCCTGACAGGTCCGGGATCGGTTCGTTGGCGTCCAGTTCCACCGCATCCCATTTAATGCCGTCACGCTTGAGGAACTGTCGCAGCGAGCCGGGGTGTTCGCAGGCAATGTGCTGAAAAACCAAGAGCTTCAATGCAAAGGCCTCCGGGCAGGATTAAAACACCGGGATGATGTCCTGCGGGTCAATCGCCACGGTCCTGCCGTCGATGCCGACCTCCGGCAAGGCGGGGAATTCCACCCCATGCGGCTCCAGAATGCCCTTCAGCCGAAGCACCGCTGCGCGCCAGTTCTCGGCCCGCTCGTCCTCCGTCAGGATGCCCAACCCGGCGCCACGGGCCGCCTCTTCCAGCATGCGGTGTGCCGGCCGGAAGGTCGGACCCAACTCCCAGAAGTCCTCAGGCGGCACATACAGAATTCCCGACAGAAAGACGAACCCGGCGCGAATCTGCCGGGTGATGACGTCGCGCTGCTCGTCGGTCAACTGCGGCAGCACGTTGCGCAGCACGGCCAGGCAGATCGCCATGTGGCGCGCCTCGTCCTTGCCGATCATCTTGAACGCCTCCTTGAGGGCCGGCATCGTGGTGCGCTGGTACATGCTGTGGAACAGCGTCGCCGCCGCCACCTCCCCCATCAGGAACGACGCGAACAAGATCGGCAACTGGAACTTCGTGATGCCGCTCTTGAAGCCGGTCCAATAGCGGCAGCCGTTGTGGTAATACCACTTGACGTTGTTGCGGGCGAGGCGGCCGAGGGGCGTTTCGGGGTCGTAGCCGAGCGGTCCGTCGGGCGTCAGGATCTGGATGGCGCGCTGACAGACTTCTTCGTGGTTCACCTCGTCGCGCACGATCGAGAAGAAGCACTTGCGCACCGGGTCTTCCTCATGCGTCTCCCAGGTGTGGATGAAGGCACGCGAGAACACCGCCGGGCCGGAGCCGTCGAACACCGACAGCAGGGTGAACCAGTAAGCCATGGCGTAGCGTTCGTCCAGGGAGAAATCGTCGGCTTTGAAGGTGTCCCAGGGCAGGGTGTGGGGTGACCAGCCGGGGGCCGGGCCTGGTCGTAGATCTGTTGCAGCATGGGCGTTTCGACTCGCCATTCCAGGGGAAAAATGTTCATTTCGGGAAAGGGCGGCGGCTCTTGGGCGTCGAACAGCAGAGTGGCGGCGTCCGGTTCCGCGGCGCTGGTATGCGCCGGCGGATTTTCGACGGCGCCGATCAGGTCTCGGGCATTGGGGCTGGACATACGGCGGTCCTCACAGTTACTTGGCAGGCAGAATGGCCGAGGAACTCAGCGAGGCCGGATTGCGGGCTTGCCATTGGCCGGATTCCACGGCGGTCAGGAAATCACTGACGATGCGGTTGAACGACTCCGGTTCCTCCAGGTTAATCGTGTGGCCGGTCTTGGGCACGACGACGAGACCCGATGTCGGGATGGCGCGCTTCATGAACAGCCCCGGCTCCAGACACGGCTCGTCCTCGTCGCCGGTAACGATCAGGGTGGGCACCTGCAACTGCTGCATCTGCGCCTCCAGCTCGTACACCGAGGGACGTTGACCCTGCACGCCGCGCATCGTCAGGGCCGCACCGGTCGCCGAATGTTCGGCGAGCTGATCGGCGAATTCCTGCCAGCCGCGCGGATCCTTGTCCTCGAATTGCACCCGCGTCGGGCCTTTGGCATACACGGCAGCCGTGGCCTGCATGCCGTCGCCCTCGATACGCTGCGCCACCTGCGCCGAGTCCTGCTGGAATTTCTGCCGGTCGCCCGCCACCGAGCCGTAGCCGCATCCCGCTACCACCAGTGACCGCGCCATCTGCGGATAGTTGAGCCCGAAATGCAGGGTAGCGTAGCCGCCCATCGACAGGCCCACCACATGCGCCTGCGGCACCTGCAACGCCTCCAAAAGCTGCGCGATGTCGTGCATGGCGCGCGCCTGCGAGTAGGCGCCGACGTCCTCCGGCACGTCCGACGGCGGATAGCCGCGGGCATTATACGCGATCACCCGATAACGCCGTGCGAAATAGCGTACTTGTGGCTCCCAGCTGCGGTAATCGCCAGCATACTCGTGGCTGAACAGCAGCGGGAAGCCGCTGCCGGTGGATTCGTAGTACAAGCGGGTGCCGTCGTTCATGGCTGCCAGTGGCATGGGCCGGGTTCCTCCTCAGTCAGGATGGCTCAGGAATCGATAGTGTCAACCATGCCGTGCAGCATACATGGCGGGCGAGCGGAAAGTCAAAAACACTCCGATTCGCAGCGGCATTGACAGGCGCCATGGCCCTCTGTATAGTCGCCCGCAATCATTCAAGCGTTCACGATTCCGCGTAAGGAGAGCGTCCCATGAGCCTGCGAGCGCCCGGTCCGGCCACAGGCGTCCATGCCTCCCTCGAATTTGGCTTTACCCCTTCCTACCCGCTGTGTGCTTTGCGATGGTGTGCCTCCCGCTGGTGGCGCTGATAAGCCCGCCCCATCCCAAACGTTTCGGTTCTTCTGCTCCTTTTCCGGTACGGCATTATTTGATCGAACCATAGCCCGCGTGCAGCAGAAGCGCGTCCCTGCGGCGCAGCCCGGCGTGCAGGCCGTGCGGGAAAGGCAGCGAGCAATTGCAAGACAGCAGCATTTTCTGGAGACGACACCATGACAAGCACACCCTCCATGACGGCCAGCGACGTGCGTGATTATCTCTTGCGGCAACCGGTCAGCGAAGAGGTTCTGCCATACGGCGACGGGCGCGGCAACCTCCGACGCCTGACGCTGACGTTTGATTTCAGCCGGGACGACCTGCCGCCTCTTGAGCTTTACCAACACCTCAATGCCGACAAGCCCGGCGTATTATACGAATCGGTCGACGTCTCGCGCGTCTACGGCCGCTACTCCCTCGCGGTGGTCGACCCGCCGGTGCTGGTCGAGGGCAAGGAAGATACCTTCGCCATTCGCGCCCTGAATGAGCGCGGTCAGGCCATGCTGCGGCAGCCGCTCGCCGACGTTGACTTCGCTTGTTGCCAAGACCTGCAGCGTGACGACCAAGCGCTGACCGGCACCGTGCCCTGCGAGCGCCGCCCGGTAGCCGAGGACGAACGGCTGCTCCTTAACAACATCTCGCAGATTGTGCGCACGCTGCTGCAGCACTTTCGCTGCGACGACCGCTTCCTGGGGTTGTACGGCGCTTTCGCCTACGATTTTGTACGCCTGTTCGAGCCGTTGCCCGATCGCCTGCAACCCGGCCCCACCCAGGATTTCCGGCTGTTCATGCCGGACATGCTGCTGTTTTACGACCATCTGAAGGAACGGGCAACGCTGATCATTTACGATTTCCTGGACAGCTCCGCGTCCGCCGGCGATCTGGTACGCGAGCGGCTGTCTTGCCTTCAACCGGCGCCCCCGTCGCCTGCCGCCGAGCGCCACCGCATACCCCACAAGCTGGAATCGGACACCGGGCGCGACGCCTTCATGGCGGCGGTCGATGAGGCGCGCGAGCAGATGCGCCAAGGCGAATTCTTCGAGGTCGTCCTGTCGCACAGCTTCATGGGTGAATACACCCGCAGCCCCCTGGAGTTGTACCGGCGGTTCCGCGCCATCAACCCGTCCCCGTACCAGTTCTACGTCGATTACGGCGACGAGGCGCTGGTCGGTGCCTCGCCGGAGATGTTCGTGCGGGTGGAGGACGGCGTGGTGCAGCAGCGGCCCATCTCCGGCACCATGCCGCGCGGCACCGACAGCCTCACCGACTATCACAACATGATGCAGCTTCTGAATTCGGAGAAGGAAAAATCGGAGCTCGACATGCTCATCGACTTGGCGCGTAACGACGTCAGCCGGGTGTGCGAGCCCGGCGTCAGCGTCTCCGACTACCGCTTCGTGGAGAAATACTCGCGCGTGATGCACACGGTGGCGCAGGTGGAGGGCGAATTGTCCGCCGGTCTGTCGGCCTTCGACGCCTTCATCGCCTGCCTCAACGCCGGCACCCTGACCGGGGCGCCCAAGGCGGCGGCCATGGCGTACATCGAGAACCACGAGCACAGCCGCCGCGGCTACTACGGCGGTAACGTGGGTTACCTGACGTTCTCGGGACAGCTCGACACCGGCATCATCATTCGCACGGCGCACCTGGTGCAGCGGCAAGGCGGCGCGGCGCCCGCTTACGACGTGCGCGTGCGGGTCGGCTCGACGCTGCTGTTCGATTCGGAACCGTCCGCCGAGTACGCGGAAACCGAGGCTAAGGCAAGGGCATTATTGGAAGCGCTGGACGGCATCGAGTAAACGGGGGGAATTTTCATGAACATCACCATGATCGACAATTTCGATTCGTTCACCTTCAATCTGGTCGATTACTTCCGCCGCCTCGAATGCACCGTGCGGGTGTATCGCAATGACATCCCGGTGGACATCGTGGCGACGTCGGAGCCGGACCTGCTGGTCTTCTCCCCAGGTCCGTCGACGCCCGCCAACGCCGGCAACCTGCTGGCCTACATCGATCATTTCCACCAGCACGTGCCGCTGTTCGGGGTGTGCCTGGGCCATCAGGCGATGATCGAGTATTTCGGCGGCACGCTGCGGGTGCTGCCACGTCCCTACCACGGCAAGCAAAGCGAGATCGACCACCACGGCGAGGGCATCTACGAAGACCTGCCATCGCCGCTGCCGGTGGGCCGCTACACTCGCTGGTCGGCGACGTGATACCCGACGTTTTCGAGGTGACCGCCACCTGGGGCGACGTCGTGATGGGTATCCGTCACCGCTCGCTGCCCATCGAGGGCGTGCAGTTTCACCCCGAGTCGATTCTGACGATGGAAAACAGCCACGGGCTGCGTCTGCTGGGTAATCTGTTGGCCGCGGTGGCCGAGGCGTCCCGGCCTTAAATTCCACATAAAATACCCCGCCACGACTGATTTGTCGTGGCGGGGTTAGGTTAGGGGCGGGCCAAATAAACTAAAGGGCGCCTCGAAAAATGACTCACTGGCGGGCAAAACTGGCGTGAGTGGTCCTATCGCGTGATGTCGGTAGAGAATGAACGGCGGTTGGCGCGGTGATGTCGCTCCCCGACAAGAGCCATGGCGCTTTCAATGAGGGCGTCCCACGCCCTGCTGCACCCTTTAGCGTGAATCCACCATCGCCAGACGTTGCAAGTGAACCAGGCGACGCCTGTTGTAGGCAAGGTTCTTGAGACCTATCCGCGCGCTCGCCCGTACAAGACCGATGCTGCGAACCAACGTCCCGCCCACGTCGTTTTGCTGCGCCCCGAAGACATGCTCTACCCGTGCTCGAAACCGTGAACGACTCTGGTTGCCCGCCTTCTCCCAATCACACAGCGGACGGTTGCGATAGCCCTTGCGATGAATCCGACTCGTCAAGCCCCCTTTCCTTGACCTTCTCCGCGATCGCTTTGGACCGGTAGGCGCTGTCCGCCCAGACGCCGCTTGCCGTGTTGTCCGACGTAAGCAGTTCATCAACCACTTGGCTGTCGTGCACCGCCGCGTCCGTCACCCGGTAACGCCGGATCGGTTTGTGCCGACGGTCGATGCTGACGTGATTCTTGTAGCCATGGCTCTTGCCGTGCTTCTTCGTCCAGCGCGCATCCGTATCCTTTTGCCGACGCTTGGCCGCCTTGTCGGCCCAGGCCGCGGGCATCTCACCGCGCTTGATCTGCTCATTGTCATCACGACGATTGCGTTGAATGGGAACCGCGACAATCGAGGCATCGATGATCTGGCCGCCCATGGCCCGGTAGCCCTGGCTTTTCAGATAGCCGTCGAAATCCTCAAGCAAGGCCTCCAGAGGCCAGCCTGTGACAACTGCTCGCGGTAGAGCCACACCGTCTTGGCGTCGGGCACCTTGTCTTCAAGCGCCAGCCCCAGAAAGCGCACGAAGGACAGGCGGTCACGCATCTGATACTCGACCTGGTCATCCGACAGATTGTAGAGGGCGCACAAAATGATCGCTTTGAACATGACGATGGCGTCCCACGGCTTGCACCCCGCATTGGACTTACGCTTGTCGGGCGGCTTGCGCCAGACGTTTTCCAGGCGGCTGCGGAAGGCTTCCCAGGGAACGACGGCATTGATCTTCACCAGGGGGTCATGCTTGGCATCCAGAGCGGCGTAGCGATTCTCGACATCGAAAAAGCCCATCCGAGCCATGTTCAACTCCTCCGGCCTGTTGGTTAACGTGTCTCTGTAATTCTAAACCACGTGGGAAGATGAGTATCATTAGAGATGCCCATTCATTAACTCTTCACAGTCCCGTTGTAAGCTCGGAAACGGAAAGCCCCAGGGATTTGGCAATCGCCTCCATGTTCCGCAAAGCAACATTGCGCTCCCCGCGCTCGATTCCTCCAATATAAGTTCGATCAAGCCCACACGTCGCCGCAAAGGATTGTTGCGAAAACCCCCGAGCTTTTCGAAGCTGGCGTACTCGCTCGCCAAATTTTTTGAGAATGCTGTCGTCGCTCATGTATATGGGGCCGAGTTGATGATGACGCCTACGGTCTAGGGGCAGTTCAAGACAGACCGGCAACAATCTTCACATACTCCCGCACCCGTCCCACGTCGATATCGCTGTCCCAGGCGCCGGACTTGAGGCACGAGCCGACAAAGGCGCCATCGGCTTCAGCGAGGCGGCGGGCGGCGTTTTCGTGCTTGGTATGGCCGCCGAGGATGACGGGCAGGTGGGGGTGGACGTGTTTGATGTCGTACACCAGGCGATTGCTGACGGCCTCGTCGGGGTGCGCCACCTCGACCGCGTCGGCGCCCATGCGGGCTGCGGTGCGGGCCACGTCGGCGGTGGGTTTGTCGCCCATCCAGTGAAAGTGCATGCTGTCCACCTCGGCGATCAGCTTGAGCCGGTCGCCGCCGATGCGGGCGCGGTAGGTGAGGAAATCGAGGGGGTTGGCCTCGACAATGCCCGAGGGCGTCACGGTGGCGCCAACGAGCGCCGTGCAGCGCAGAAATGAGCCGCCGCACACGGTGGCCACCGCGGCGGAGGCCTTGAGCGCATTGACCATGATCTGCACGCCGATCTGGAAGTCCGGCGGCGTGGCTTCGGCCACCGCCCGGGTGATCGCCGCCATGGCCGCGACGCGAGCGTAATCCGCCTCGTCGCCGGTGGGATAAACGCGGTCCACCGTCTGGATGAGACAGCCGTCGGTGCCGCCTTGCGACAGGGCGGTGGCGTCGCGCACGGCCTTGTCCAGCGCTCGCTCGGTGTTGCCCGGCTCGTAAAACGGCGTGCCCGGCAGGGGCAGCAGGTGGACGAGGCCAATCACGACTTTCTTGCAACCCAGGGCGTCGAAGCTGCGCATGGCAACCTTTCTATGCGGTAATAATCGGACGAATGGGGCCGTGCTCCGGGAACAGCGAATGAATTTCCCGTTGGAAGCGGCGGAAGGACGGCCGGCGAGCGAAACGAACCAAGTGCGACGCACACGCGCAATCCGAGGACCCGAAGCCGTGAAGCGGCATCTCGGCGCCCGGCAATTACTGCATCACCTGCGCCCACTGATGCTCCCGGCGGATCGAGTCGTGCGTGAACCACACGCGCTCCAGTTGGGTATGCAGTCGCAGATGGTCGACGTGCCAGTGCGGCCGCGCGGCCCGCTTCCGGTGATGCGCCAACCGCGCACGGACGCCGCCGGGACCGAAGGCGCTGCCGACGTAGACGTACCAGCCAGGCCGCAACGCCAAGCTGCCCAGCTGCCCGACGCGCAGGCAGCGAGTCTCGGTCGAGGCAAGGACCAAGGCATAGGTTCCCGGCCTCGACGTCAAACCGCTCACCCGGCGTTCCCGCTTATTCCGAGTCGAACACTTCCTTGGCCACCCGCACCGCGTTGGCCGCGGTGGGCCAGCCGGCATAGAAGGCCATGTGGGTAATCACGGCGCTGATCTCGGCCTTCGTCACCCCATTATCCAGCGCCCGCCGGATGTGGCCACGCAGCTGATCGGTGCGGTAGAGCGCCGTCAGGGTCGCCACGGTTATCAGGCTGCGGTCGCGTTTCGACAGATCGGGCTGTTCCCAGACGTCGCCGAACAGCACGTCCGCGGTCAGGTCCGCCAATTTCGGTGAGATTTCTCGCATTACGGCACGGGTTTCCGCCATCACGTTTCCTTTACTCGCTCATGGAAGCATTCACGCCGCCGAGAACCGACGACGCTTCGGGGCGCTCTAGTAGTGCGTCAATCTTTGATCACGGGATAGAGATGATGCAACTTGACCCGTTTCGTCAATTCGGTCCGTTCTTCTTCACTCAAACGGACCACATAGAGCTTCTTCACAATCATCCCTCCCAGCTTATGGCCAGCAGCTTACTGGGAGGCAACTTATCATGCCTGTGCATTACGTTGAACAGCTACTAGTCCATTTCATAGACAGCACCCTCGGGCTCTTTGTATGATGATCATAAGATGGTAGCTCAGACGTGCCAAGAGAAATAAAATCCAGATTTCCCCCTCACCCCAACCTTCTCCTACCAGGGGAGAGGGAGCAAGTTGAGCCCAATTTGTAAGGTCGGAGACCATGCCGGACGGAAATCGCATCCAACGTTTTGCCTGGGGCGCGCGGGACGATGCCCAAGTCCTGATCGTGCATTTCGGCTCTAAATCGACGCCGATGATCGCCCAGCAACTGCGCCAGATCGGCTTGCGCAGCCGCGTCATTCACGCTGCCGAGGTGCCGGAGGCGGTCGCTGCCGGCCGCGGCGCCAAGCTGACGATCCTCTCCGGCGGCGATGACCGTATCGGCAATCCTGGCGCCCCTACCCTCACCGACGCCGATGTGGCGACACTGCGCCAAAATGGCGTGGTTCTGGGCATCTGTTACGGCGCCCAACTCCTGGCCAGCAAGCTGGGCGGCTCGGTGGCGCCGGCAGCCGTGCCGGAGTTCGGGGAGGTGCAGGTCAGCGTCGCGGCGCCCTTCGGCGATTACACCGGCGGCACGGTGGTGATGAACCACAGCGACGAGATTGCAACCCTGCCCGCCGGCTGGAACGTCCTGGGCAGCACCGCCCATTGCCGGCACGCCCTGGTCGGCGCCGACGGCGTGTACGCCGCGGTGTTCCACCCGGAGGTCGATCACACCGAGAACGGCGACGCCTTCCTGGCGCACATCGCCTTCACCCTCGCCGGCTGCGAGCCCGACTACACGTATGACTTGGCTACCTACGTTGACACGTGCACCGACTGGCTGCGTCAGGCCGTGCCGCACGGCGACGTGGAACTCGGGCTGTCCGGCGGCGTGGATTCCGCTGTCGCCTTCAAGCTCGCCCAGCGCGCCTACGGCCCGCGCCTGCGTGCCACTTGCGTGGACACCGGCTTTCTGCGCCAGGACGAATTGGCCGAGGTGCGAGAGGTATTCGGCGATGCAGGCATCTCGTACCTTGAGGCATCCGACGCCTTCCTGCCCGACATCGAGGCGCTGCCCTACGCCGGACCCGACCCGCAGGGCGAGGCGCACTACTACGATCAGGTACGGCGCACCATCGGCGCGCGTTTCATCGACACCTTCGTGCGCCACGCCCGCCAGCAGGGCCGCCAGCCGGTCGCCCTCGTGCAGGGCACCAACTACGCCGACATCATCGAGTCGATTACCAACCTGAAGGCGCACCACAACGTCGGCGGCCTGCCGGCCCAACTTGCCGTCCAGGTCATCGAGCCCATCGCCGGGCTGTTCAAGTTTGAAATTCGCCAGCTCGCCGCCTATCTCGGCTTGCCCAAGGAGGTCGTGCACCGCCAGCCCTCCCCCGGCCCGGGCTTGGCCATCCGCATGTGGGGGCCGGTGACGCGCTCGAAAGTCGATGCCCTGCGCCGCGGCACGCGCATCTTCGAGGAACTGGTGCGCCAGCATTACCCCCAGCCGCAGCAGCGCCCGACGCAGTACTATCTGGCCTTCGCCCCGCTGGCGTCGTGCGGCCTGATGGGTGACGATCGCGTTTACGGCTATGCATGGGTCATTCGCGGCGTCACCACGCACGACCGCGAGAGCTACGTCACGGTCAGCGCTTTCGACTTCTCACCGGCCTTCCTGCAGGAGGCGGCGCGGCGCCTGACCAACGAAATCACCATGGACGACGGCACCCGCTTCGTGCGCGTCTTCGTCGAGGTGACCGGCAAGCCGCCGTCCACCACGGAACCGCATTAACCACGCCAAGGAGAATCCCGCATGTCGGTCGACATCAGCGATATCCGCAGCCTCGTGGCGTCCCAGGACGACTGGCGCCAGCGGCAGACGATCAATCTCATCGCCAGCGAGAACGTCCAGAGCGCGGCGGTGCGCGACATCCAGAACTCGGATTTCATGGCCCGCTATGCCGAGGGGCACCCCAACCAGGGCGACCAGATCAATCGCTATTACCAAGGCACGCAATACATCGACCGCCTCGAAACCATGGCGCGAGAGGAGCTGCTGGCGCTGGCCCGCTGCCGCCAGGCGGACGTGCGGCCCATCAGCGGCAATGCTGCCAACACCGCCATCGCCCTCGGCTACCTGCGCGCCGGCGATCCCGTCATCGTCAACTCGACGCCCGCCGGCGGCCACATCAGTCACAACACCATCGGCGTCTTCGGCAGGCGCATCCAGACGCGCGGCGCCTCGCTGAACCTCGAATCGGACAAAGCCATCCCCTTGCACTACCTGCCGCTGAGCGAGGACCACTACCACGTCGACGTGCCGAAAAGCCTCGACCTCATCGAGCGCGCCGCGCCGCGCCTGGTGGTACTGGGCAAGAGCCTGTTCCTGTTTCCCGAGCCGGTGCGCGAGCTCGCCGCCCTGTGCCGGGAGAAGGGCATCCCGATTCTGTACGACGGCGCCCACGTGCTCGGCTTGATCCTCGGCGGCCAGTTCCAGGACCCCTGGCGCGAGGGTGCCGCCTGGGTCACCGCCAGCACGCACAAAACCTTTCCCGGCCCGCAGCGCGGCGTCATCCTCGCCGACCTCAACGAAGCGGACGAAAAACGCTACTGGCCGGCGGCCAATCGCGGCGTTTTTCCCGGCTCCTCCAGCAATCACCACCTGCACAGCCTGCCGGGCCTGCTCGTCGCCATCCGCGAGATGAAGCAACACGCGCAAGCCTACGCCGCTCAGATCGTCGCCAACGCCCAGGCCCTCGGGCGCGCCCTGGACGACGCCGGCATCGCCGTGGAGGCGCGCGATTTCGGTTACACGCGGAGCCACCAGCTTGCCGTCAACGTCGCGGCGCACGGCGGCGGCGTGGCCGTGGCGCAGCGCCTGGAGGCCAATGACATCATCGTCAATTACAACCTGCTTCCCACCGACACCGAGCCGCGCAACCCCTCCGGCCTGCGCATCGGCGTGCAGGAAATGACCCGGTACGGCATGCGTGAGGCGGACATGCAGGACCTCGCCGGGCTGATCGCCGACGCCATCCGCAACAAAGCCGTCAAGGACGCCGTGCACGCCCTGCGGCAGCGGTTCGACACGGTGCAGTATGTGTAGGGGAGACGCGAGAATGGATGGGTACGCGAAGTGGGTATTGCTCCTGGCCTTCACCGTGCTGCTGGCGGCCTGCGCGTCCAAGGACGAGCAGCCGGTGCCGCTCGACGCGCAGGATGCGGAGCAACTGGAGCAGGTTTATCAGGAAGGCCGGGCGGCCTATCTGGCCGGGCGCTATGACGATGCCGCCGGGCATTTTGCCCGCGTCGCCAACGCCGACCCGGAGCACCTGAAGGCCAGGATCAACTGGGGCGCCAGCCTGTCGCGCGGCGGCCGGCCGCTGGAAGCCTTAGGTCATTTCCAACAGGTCCTGGAGCAGGAGCCGGACAACGCCGCCGCCCTCTACAACTGGGGCGCCGCCTTGGCCCGCCTCGGCAAGCACGAGGAAGCGCTGGACAAATTTAACCGCGCCCACGGCCTGAGCGGCCTCGATTTGCCGCCAAAGCTGCAACGGTCACTCGATAGTTACCTAAGCCGCCATCGCCGGGACGAACCCGAAGTGACGCCCGAGAACGAAGCCCCGCGTTAGTCTGCATACGGCACCGCTGTTACCCTCCCCCGGCTTTCCGCCAGCAGGCGATCCACTTCGGCCCGCAGCGTCGGCACCACTTCGTCCAGCGGCACGATGCGGCTCTCCTCGCTGTCGCGCGATTTCAGTTCCGCGCCGCCCTGGCGCAGCGAGCGCGCTCCGAGGGTGAGCCGCAGCGGCAGGCCGATCAGGTCGGCGTCGTTGAACTTCACGCCGGGGGTGGCGTCGCGGTCGTCCAATAGCATTTCCACACCCTGCGACCATGCCTCTTGGTACAGGCGATCGGCTGCCTCGGCGACTTCCGGCGCCCGCTGCAACAGCGCGACGCATGAGACGTGGTAGGGCGCAATACTGACCGGAAAGCGGATGCCACGCTCGTCGTGGTGCTCCTCGATGACGCAGGACAGCAGCCGTCCGCTGCCGATGCCGTAGGAGCCCATGATGACCGGCTTGCTGGTGCCGTCGCTGTCCAGGAACACGGCCCCCAGCGCCTCGGTGTAGCGCGTGCCCAGCTTGAAGATGTTGCCGACTTCGACACCGCGCGAGGTGCGCAGCGTCCCGCTGCACTGCGCGCAGGCGTCGCCGCCGCGCGCCAGCACGAGGTCCGCCACGTGCGCCGCGGTGTAATCGCGCCCATAGTTCGTGTTCCGCAGGTGATAACCGGGCTTGTTGGCGCCGGCGACCAAATTGGGCGACTGGGGGATTATTTCGTCCACTACCAACAGCAGATCGTCCGCCCGCAGCCCGACCGGCGAGGCGTACCCCGGTTCGGCTCCGACGGCGCGAATCTCCTCCCCGCGCGCCGGCCGCAGGTCGCGGGCGCCGATGGCGTTGGCGAGCTTCGTCTCGTTCAACTCGCTGTCGCCGCGCACCACGGCAAACACGAAGCGCTCGCGGTCTGCCTCGCCTCCGCCGCCGGCAATGGTGGCCATGAAGAACACGGCCTTGGCCGTGCGCGCCGTCGGCACTCGCAAAAGCTCGGCCAGCGCCTCGATTGTCGGTGTATCCGGCGTTGCCACCGGCTCACTCGGCAACGGCGCCTCCGCTTCGGCCGCCGGCAGCCGTGCCGCCGCCACTTGGCGATTCGCGGCGTAGCCACAGCCGTTGCACAGCACCAGGGTGTCCTCGCCGATGGGGTTCAGGTACATATACTCGTGCGCCATCTGGCCGCCCATCATGCCGACGTCGGAACGCACCGCAATCACCGGCACATGGCAGCGCTGGAAGATGTTGAAATACGCTTGGTAATGCGCCCGGTACTGAGCATCGAGGCCCTTCCAGTCGGCGTCCAGGCTGTAGCTGTCCTTCATGGTGAACTCGCGCACGCGGATCAGCCCGCCGCGCGCCCGCGGCTCGTCGCGGTACTTCGTCTGGATCTGGTACAGCAGGCACGGCAACTGCCGGTACGAGCGCACCTCCTGCCGCACCAGGTCGGCGATCACCTCTTCGTGCGTCATAGCCAGTACCATGTCGCGCTCGGCGCGGTCCTTGAAGCGCGCCATCTCCGGCCCGACCTGATACCACAGCCCCGTCTCCTGCCACAGCGACGCCGGGTGCACCACCGGCATGGTGATCTCCTGGCCGCCGATGGCGTCCATCTCCTCGCGGATGATGTCCTCAATCTTCGTCAGCGCCCGCCGTGCCAGGGGCAGGTAGCTGTAGCTGCCCGCCGACAGGGGCCGCACCAGACCGGCCTTGAGCAGCAGTTGATGACTCGGCAGCTCGGCTTCGCCGGGCACGTCTCGCAGCGTCTGGCTGAACAATCGGCTCATGCGCATGGTGAATTCTCCGCCTTGTGAAATCTGGGAATGCGTGATGAGTGCTGCATGATGACACAAGACAGCAAATGCCCCGCGCTGGTGCACGATTGCCCGGCAGGTGCAGCGCATGTGTTGGCAGTCATCCTGGCCCAGACCGTCCAGAAAAAAGACAAATGGAGCATTTGTGGGTTGAACTGCAGTGGTAGGTCGGATTATGCCTGCGGCTAGTCCGACCTACATGAACATACGCTCGCCCTGCGAAGGTCGGCCCAATTGACCCTCCGCCCCTTCCGGCTTATGATTGCCCTCCATACAGCCACGGAACCTTCCAACACAGCCGCCCCCCGCTCAAGTCGGGGGCAGGCTCTGCGGCACTTGGCAGGGAGATACGCCATGGAACAATCGGTTATACGGAACTCGCGGCGCGTCGTCGCGCCGCAGGCCGCTTGCTGACCCTGCCGAGGACATGCGGTGTACGAAAGAAAAAAAAAAAAAAAACGAAAGTGTCGGACGGGGCCATACGGGCTCGACGGGCGCCGCCGACTTGGTCCCCGTTTTCCCGGCCAGCCCCGGCAGGTGTGGGGAAAAATACTCGGTCCAAGCTGGCCGATCGGCACACATCCCGTTCGTGGCGCGCGCGCCCGGCCCGTCTGAGCGGCGGCGCCTGCGCTCGAGGTCGGCATTGTCATCGAGATGTGCCGCATGAACAAAATCCTGGACATCGATTACAGCACAGCACCAGCGCGCCGTGGTGCAGCCGGGCCTGGTGAACCTGCACCTGTCGCTGGGCCGGGTCTGACGGCGGCTTCTACTACGCGCCGGACCCTTCGAGCCAGGGTTCGTGCACCATCGGCGGCAACGTGGCGGTAGAACTCTCGCGGGCCCTCACACCCTCAAGTCGCGTCAACCCCAACACGTGCTGGGTCTGGAAGTCTGCTGCCGAACGGCGAGCTTGTGCATTTTCGGCGGCGGCGCGGCGGCGCTCGACACCCCGGGTTATCGACCCCTGACCGGCTGTCGTCTCGTCGGCTCCGATGGCAACTTTTGGCATCGTCACCAGTGTCACCCGTGCGGATTATGCCGGCAAAGCCGCAGGCGGTCAAGACGCTACTCCTGGCCTTTTTCGAATACCTTTGAGGCGGGCAGCAACGCGGTGGGCGCATCAATCTGCGCCGGTAATCATCCCCGCCGCCCTGGAAATGATGGACAACCCCTGGCCATCCAGGCGGTTGGAGGGCGCATCCAGCGGCCTTTGCGCTTGCCGGCCGTCCCC